CATTTTTGACGTGGTGGTCATCGTAATGCTATTTTACAGTGCGATGTTACTATGCTCCGGCTAAGGCATCCTATTTGGAATGTTGAACAAGGCAAGACAACACGGGCCTATTGTCATATTATCGGCGATGTAATAATCTAAATTATGCATAAATTAAAGAAAACAAAATATAAAATTTTATATTTCAAAAATCAGGTCGGGTGACTCATAAGATTCAAACGCTGCCCTACATTCGTAGGCATAGCATAATCTACAAGTTTCGACGATTTGGCCACGTTAATTTCCTATTTTGTACAATGAAATGGCATGCATACCTTTGTTTCTGCCCAACAATACGCTTTCACGTACTTCAGATCTTCTTTCTGTCTAGCTCTTGGATATACATAATCGATTCAGATCGTAGAATGTGTGATGAAAGTATCTGTACCATTCTCTCTTTGGCGATTAATTCTGAAAATATCTTAATTTCATGCCATTAAAGGTTAAGGTTCCGAGTATCCTTCTGAAAGTCATAAATTTGCATGCCAGCCTTTGATATTCATTGCTCCATTAGCGGACATTTTGAAACCCATATTTTCATATGACTTTCGTGAGTAGTTCGTTGTTTTAGACGTAAATAGAATATAATTGAAGCATGATGTAGTAAAATACAGTATTCAGTAGAACGCCGCTACCAATTGACAACCGATTGTTCTTATACAGCTCATTAACTTCATTGTGATTTTTCCTTCGGATGCATGACATGGCTTATCGGCAATGGATTCATAGATTCTTCATGATAATGCATTTCCTTATAATGAGTTCGATATGTACTTCATTGTAATACGCTGTCTAACAGTCTGATACGGTTGTTGAAGTCGATGTGCAGCTGCCTCTCTGTCTAGACGGGTTGCTCAGTCAGTAGAAAATCAGACTCAGAACCAAAAGGTCATGGGTTCGAGCTCTAGTCCAGCATTAGCATTTCATTCTTTCAAGGTTAATGAATGAGAACCACTATGTGGGAAAGCGAAGATTAGATGTAATGCGTGTCACATAGCTGCAGACTCTGGCTTTAAAATGTATCACTCCTGGCTAATGTTATAGAATCGGAGATCAGCGCCGCACCATTAAGTTCTTGAAAAGAAGGGCATTTCAAGTGGCCCCTAATCGTGACAGTATGAGGGAGATCGACATCTGAGCGTTTACAAACTTTTCTTTCTCCTCTGCCTGTCAAACTTTAGTATTTCATAGCGATATCTTCGATTTGTACTACGCTGTAATCACTGTGTTCGATAAATAGACAAGACTGAGGCAATCTGCAATAAATTGTTCTTCATTGTGATGCCATATTCGTCAGATTGACAAGTTTTAAAATGGTTGAAAGGCGGCAGGTTCTTCTGTTAATCGAATTCAATTTTTTCTTTATATTTTGCTTCATTAAATATTGGTTGGTCTTTCAGCCGATGAAACATTTGTTCTGCTTTGAATATAAGCAAGACTTTTTGTGCTTTATTTCTGATATATTTCATTATGACACTTTTCTGCCTCACTTAGGAACTGCTCAGTCGATAGAACGTATGATTCATAGTCAAGAGATTGTGAGTTTCGAGCCTTGGTTAGGTCGCTTTTCATTCGTTCCAAGTAGATAAACGAGTGCCATTTTGTGGGAAAGAAGGAAAAGTCTAAATAGTTTGTCTTTGCCACAGAGTTGAAAACATCGTTTTTAAGACAAGGAATTCATGGTTTATGACACAGAAGCAAAGATAATCGCCGCATCGTTAATTTCTGTGAAGTTCTCCCTTTTATTTCATCAATGTCGTAAGTATTTGTAGTGCCTTCCTGGCTTTTTCTTACAAATAATGATGGTTCCATCGTTGTAGTATAAAAGATTCATGGTTTTCTTCATTTAGTCATGTTGCAAGTGAATGAGTATTTTCTGTTAAGGCAAAGTGCCTGAGCATCCAGTGGCAGAAGCGCTTTTGCACACCTATCGAACCTGCCATCTGTCCGAGAAATGGCTGAATGATTTGGTGGATGCTCGAATAGATTCAATTTCGGGGCAGATCTATGGTGATATGGATTCGCTTCAGTCACATTTTCACAACACCTTTGGCACGGTGCTTCTCCTTATTTTGCAGGTACCGATAAAAGTTTATAAAATGTATGAACAGAATACCGCAGTTTATTGTTTTTTAACTGTTTTTTCTTTTTTCTTCGAAAAATTGATCATGAGCGAAATTTTCATTATAACCAAATCAATAAATTGCTGATTTTAGCTAGACGCTAACTGCTATGAAGAAAGTATCTGAACTTTACTTGTTCTTGTGGTATAAAATTATATTAGGGGTTTTAGTGGGTAGGAACCGATAATTTTGTGCAAGAAACGATGGCATTAAGCAAAGGTCATGCAGTATTTTGCTTTGGTTATCTTAGAAAAAAATTGTTTTTCGTGAGATGTACATTTTAATGTCATTTTTTGTTTTTGTTTCTGGTATTGATATTTTTCAGATTTTGAAAGTGATGAATTTGCATGCCGATCACGCAGCTAGTCACATCGGAAAAGCCGTCGGTCTTGTAAACACGGTTCGCGCTATGCCGATGCACGCACGACGTGGACAGGTGAACCTCCCTCAGGAACTGTTGACGAAACACGGGGTGACTCGCGATGACCTTATGAAGTTTTCTTCTGCCAAATGTTGTGACGTGATTTACTACATCTGTTCCGTAGCGCATGAACACATGCGGATTGCGCAGGGTTTAAAGGTAATATTGTGTATCAGA